AAACTTTTAGATTGTATATGAGCTTTTAAATTGTTAATTATTACAGCAATACGAAATCCTTGTTATTTAGATTTACATATCGACAGTACTCTACGCTGACCTTTATTACATTAAGATAAGAATTACTATTACGGCCAGTTATACGAAATGACTGACATTGTATGATAGTATTTAAGATAGCACTAATTACTAAAATTACATTCCAATATAGCGGAAGATAGCCAGGCCTATCAAATTATGTTGGAAATTATTTTATCTATTGAATAAGTCTTACCTAGCATATATAATAGTTAATAGGATTGTGATGATCTATACTGTACAAATTATAATCCTATCCCAGAGCTTGAATGACATCTGATTAGTAAGCTAGTTTGCAACTAACAAACCACTACATATCGTTTAAGACAAATGTATGATCGTGGCACCATATACTGTACGTATACTACATTTGATGAAATCGCATACGTGAATGTGATCAAAGTATCAAACTAGTCAACAATTAATAAACTGCTACATGACCTTTAATATTATCCATGATCATGGTACTTTATATACTACGTATGATCGAATCGTCATAGCGATCAGACTATGAAACCAATCTACAACTAATAAACTACTATATGATATCTATGATCTCATGATAAATGCATAATTACTACATTGATTGCATATAGTCCATGCGATCAAATCGCAATATGTGAATGCCATCAGACTATTTGGCTAGTCCATAATTAACAAGCTACAGCATGACATTCAAGCTTAATGGCACTACCTATACGATGTAAGATCAAATCGCAATACGTAAATATTTGTCAATATCATTAGACTAGTAGACTAGTCTACAACTAAAAAACTACCAGAAGGCATTGAAGTTTAATGTATAATTTACAGTTAACACAGTACTAAATCGCAATATTTGAGCGTCATCAGGCTACTAAGCTAATCTACGACTAACAAACTACTACCTTACAATGATAATCCTAATCAGCTGCTTCTTTATAATCGGTTATAGAATAAATTCTACGTCTAAAAGTGAACTTCAGTGATAGACACAAATTAAGCCTAGTGTCCATTATCTGCAAGGGTGTCGTTCTACATTATTATTACTTTGCATCCACTTTAAAGTCATTGTGGCCATCCACTACATAGAACATCATCCATTCAATAACTATTAAATCACTGCATAAGTTACCTCGTATTAACAGATTGAAATAAGGACCGCTTCGTCTCCGTTTTATTCTGATCTTCTGGGAAAGCATTGTCGCCATTACTGTATACGTGCAAATCAACAACATAATCGATCATGAAAATGGATGATGATAGTAATTGTCTAATTTATCGAGCTACAAGTATGGAAAAGACTGAGTATATAATACAATTTTGGTTGTATTAGAGTCAATAATAAGTTATAACGTGGTCAATCGTTTAGTAATAATTATGATTAATCGATAGCTGTAAGTAATCTAGTCGTTGTTGTATACACTCGTATACAGTCCATTCCAACCTGATCTGAGCGATCAAATAGCCTTGGCTTAACGTTTTCCTATACATTGAAATTGAAATAAAAAGAAAAAAATTCTCTTTTAACCAAAGGGATCAATGAATCCATGATATTACTGCAGTCTTCATGCGTTACCTTGTTGGGCTGCTGGGTATATGCTGATGTAGAACAGCAGGGCGATATAATTGTTTCTTCCGAGCTTGATCAGCCATTTTTTCTCATGGCAACAGCGATTCGAACTTTGGCGGGTGAGTCATACTGCGAGTGTAACTGTCTACAGTATGAGAGCAGTCTATTACAGTGTACAGTGCAATGTGGTACAGTACTTTACTGTGCTGTACTGTACAGTACTGTACATTGTGACTACTGTCTCCACAAAAATAATGTCACCCATCGTGATTCACTTGCTAGTGACAGTACTGCTCTGGCTATGGTAATCATGACATGAGTTTTGCAAGCGATTCTTAATGGCTCATCCATACACAGTAACAATGATACTAGGGCAGAGAGGCTAATTTGCGAAAAACTGCACGATTCTTATCCCGGGGACATGGAGTTCTAGAAATTACTACAGTAGT